AAAAAGTATAAACCCCCCCCCCCCCCCCAATATATAAGGATCTAAGATATACATTAAGACATATGCTAAACCTATGCTAAAAGTTACACTAAAAGATCTAAGAAATACTCTAAAACACAAAAAAATGTAAATAATACGTTGTAGGAAGCAGCTTCCCGAATATGAATCTGTGGTGAGCAGATGGGAATGAATGCATACAGCAGCACGGAAAATTATTAGCAACAATATCTTTAGTCTATATATATCCATATATATATATATAGTCTAATATATATATATATATATATATATATATATATATATTGGGAAGTGGTGGCGTAGAGGTTAGAAGATGGGCCTGTGATTGGAAAGTCGCAGGTTCAACTCCCGGTACGGTCAAAATGTGGGTGGAAAAGATAGAACACCCATACCTGCCTCCACCCTCATTAGTTCCATCATGGCCCCCTGAGCAAAGCCCTTAACCCCCTTCTGCTCCCTAAAAAACAGGTCTCTCTTGAAAATGAGTTCTCGTGGCTCAATGAGACTACCTGGATAAATAAAGGGTAAATTTATATATATATATATATATACATATATATATTTATTTTCTCTCTGTCGTGTTGTATACCTGCCTCAAACATACACAAGTTTGTAATTCTATCCTTATTAAGAGAGTATATGGACTTCTTGCCATGCTTGTAGCCTAACTCTTTCCTCATGTCATCAATGACCTCAACTCAACACACCTTAGTCCTAAACCTGACCTCAACTCAACACACCTTAGTCCTAAACCTAACCTCTAACTGTAGTAGGAATGGTTTTTAAAGAAACTTTGTATCATGACCAGGAACGCGATTTTACCAGAAAAGGTCCAAAAAAGGTCATTAAAACCAGGTACACACACACTTATAAAACAAAAAACAAAAACAAAAAAAGAAGCGAATAGCAGGTAATGGATTGGAGTGGCCTGGAAAACTGCAAATGAAACAAACACGTTAGTCAATTTGAATAACAATGTTTGCGTTAGGTCCTGTTTATACGAGAGTTATCTCTGGAAACTTTAGGGTTCAATTCAATTTCAATTCAGTTTATTTATATAGCGCCAAGTCACAACATAAGTCATCTCAGTGCACTGAACAGAAACATTGTTTAAGGGTCAATGTTTACTTTCATAAATCAATAAAAAAAAAACATGTTTACAAGTAGTTGCTGTAGTTTTCATGCCAGGCAGTGTTGCCAGATGAGAAAAGAAAAAACACCGTACCATTGTTTTAAAATGATTGTATTTTAAACTAAACCATCATATATTGAGTGAGGTATGCTTTCTAGAGGTACTGTAATTTTAAGGAGATTTGAAACTAAGGAGGGCAGACCGAACATGGGGACTTGAAAATCAAACAAAAACTGATCTTACAATAAAATCAGAAAGATTTCGTGGCAGCAGAACTTCTTCCAAAACTGCAAAAATCTCTCTACAAAAATGCTCAGAAACTCAGAATCACATGGGGAAGAAATCATAATGTGTAGTACAAAGAACAGTGCAGAAACTAAATGAAACACCTGGGGAAGGAACAACTGAGAACAGGTGACAGTGGGTGCGGCAGGAGCAGCACTGAGACACACAAGGACAACACCCAGGAATAAAGAAACTCGGGAAGTACCAACAAGATTCTACATATAAGAACGCAAAAAGGATTATTGAAAGATGAAGTATGTTTTGTTCATGTGCACAGAATTTTTTTTTTTACAAGTATCACACCAGAATTACTTTCTGATTAAATAGAGCTTGGATACAAAGTTTGACAAATCGCCACAGGAAATTGCAGTGAGTAATTTTTATTTGTATTTTTACAGATGTGACTGCTATTTCTGTCCTCCAACAGAAAATGTTGAACAGTAGAGATGCCATTTTCTGCATTTTGATGTACAAAGTATTTTAACGGGTTGTTATGCATCAACATTTATCTACATTTGTAAACGCTTAATAAAATTACTATTTTGGAGCAGAACAGCAGGTTGTGTGCAGCAGCTCTGATTCTGTCAGGTGTCCTAACCCCCCTCCTCCCTCCGCTCACTTCACGGTTCTGAGCTGAACGCTCCTGCTCCAGTCTCGTGGCACCGTTTGAAGCACCTGAAGAATCCAGTTCTCTGTTGTCCAACTAAGGACATCCATCCATCCATCCATCCATCCATCCATCCATCCATCCATCCATCCATCCATCCATCCATCCATCCATCCATCCATCCATCCCTTTTTAATTAAAGTAAATTGGAATGTCTTTTTGACATTTTGATTGTTGTTATTTTGACAAATTAGCACCGTTGTTTTGAAATGTGACGAATAATGTGAATAACACATCAAACATTTCTCTCTTTGTATTTTTAATTGATTTTTTACAGTAAGCTTTTTGTAATTTATTATGTCTGAAATGTAGCAGGAGTTCAGACACCTGCTGATGTGCGCGCGCTAGAACTGTCTGGAGACGTTTCTGTGTGTAACGTGCACTGTCCACTTATTCTGTTGAATAAATTATCGTTTCTGTTTTGGGTGTCAGAGAGGAGGGGAGAGGGGGTGTTTTTCAGTGTGCAGTCCCACTGAGTACGGACAATATTTGGAGAGGAGGAGAAGAGAAGAACTCTGCGCAGAATCTCTGTGTGTAAATGTGACATTCTGTCCCTCCGTCCTCACCTCTCCCACCTAGAGGTTCCTCTCCAGCTCCTCGAAGGAGCGTGTAGCACCGCACGTGCTGCAGCTGGAGCATCCACAGACTGGGTCCGCCGGGCTAAAGGCAACGTCTCCTTTCGTTGTATTTTTAAATAAATAATCAAAATAAAAATGCACGATGACTTTGAACTTTTAGGGGCGGAGCTGCCGGATCCGAGGAAAGAGTTGCCGGAACAGAATGGGTCAAAATGACAGAGTTCCCGGATCTTGTTCCGGCAGGATCCGGCTCAAATTAACCACTGCATCCCACCACTGATAGGCTCTGTTAACCGTAGGTCTGCTGTAATTATTTTGCTGGAGAATCATCTGAAACACACACACAGCATGCTTTACTAAATTATATTTAATCGACATTTACCTGTACGTACTTTTACGCTTGGCTCCCACTATATAGCAGATTAGCATTAGTTTACCATCACACACAGTTTAACTCACATCTTTATGGCTTCCCACGCTCTCCTGTACTTCTCCAGAATCTTTTGCCTCGCTGCCCACAACCTTTTCTGGGTCTCTTCTTTTTGACGTTTGACAAAAAGTCGCAGACTGAGCAGAATGTTCATCAAAGCTACAAGATCCTCCATTTTTGTTGCGTATTTTTTCAGGATCTTTTTCTAATATGTTTAGTGGTGGATAGTAAATAGCCTAATGGAGCACTACCGCCACCAGCTGGTAAGAGGCATTGGATTCCGGACCTGCCCACTAGAACTGGTACTGAAATTTATATGGAAAAGCGACATGTGCCAAGCTGAACCGAGTTGAGCCGAGTCGAACCGTTCTGAGCCGTCCCTATGGAGAATGAGCATTAGCTACAGCATGAGGCGAGGAAAAGCCAGGCCAGGGTGCAGCGCACTGTGCAAGGTAGCTGAGAGTTACTGACTTCTTCAGGGGTTAATGAGGAGGCATCTGATGAGAAGGTCTGTAGGCAATCTATAATCTTGACCTGGCTTATTTTCAATCCAAAAAATAAATCCAGCAGTGAAGAAAAACATTCTATATTTTGTCATTTCTGGAACTTGGTTTCCAACACAAATTGTTATGAGAAAATTTGTTTTCTTTGCCCAGAAATAAACAGACAGACATCAGACGCAACGCACCAGGACGGGGAAAATGAACGGAGCTGAAAGTGACTCACAAAGTAGCTGCTTTGTCAGAGCTGACAGAAGTGTTTTGGGGATCTCTCAAATGTTTGACTCCATTCTGTTGTACAAAACATCCTGCTCAAAACATTACACACAGGTGTCTCAGTAAAATAAATTATTTTTCTGAAAGACACATGATTTCATAATAATTGTCAAACAATAAATTAACATATTCTTGTTTTACACATGTCAATCAAATAAACAATCTCAATTAAGATATCCCCTCCCCACCACCAAAAAAAAAAAAGAGAGACTAAAATAAGAATAAGCATTTGTCAAACTGTAGCTGTCTAGGTGTCCAAAGACAGTGAAGGTGCAGAAACTACCAGACATTAGTCAGGTCAGAAGCAACTTTTCACTAAACCAGTTCAGGGTCCAGAAAACTCGTCCATCGTTAAACAGAGACAGAGTCCTCCGTGTTCGACTGTCACCCTCTTACAATGCTGTTATTGCAAGTATCATTCAACCTCCTGTGAATAGCAAGTGGCCATCAGGGAACTAACACTCAATTGTTAGGCTGACGGTCCTTCTCTCACATGTAAACAACTATTTTTGGCTGTCACCAGCAAACTGGTTGGTCCATATGAGAAGGTGCTATTTATAAGACCGAGTTTGTTGCAGCTCCTCTGACCAAAGAAGTATTTTAGATTAAAAAAAAAAAAAGTTTCACCAAAAAAGAATCCAACCAGAGGACCTGACTCAACCTTATTAGATTGGTCTATCTGGATTATTGAGCTTGCATCAGAACAGTTCAGGGTAGTTCTTATGCCCACCCAAAGATTCAGAGTTCATGGTCAGCAGAGTAGTGTTTCCTCATGCTACACACCTCTAACAAATGTTAATTGATCTAATAAGGCTAGGTGCAACCAACCCAGAATATCAACTAAAATGTATGTTGGAATCACTTAGCAGGATATGACAAACCAGAACACCACCACTAAGCAAGTAAGCCAGGAAAACATTTAAAGACTGTTCAAAATGAGTCAAAAACCTTGTGTTTCAAAATTACAAAATACAACAGTAATACATTTTTTTGCTCCTTAAACTGATTATTTTTTCACACATTGATGATGATAGCAGGAGCTTAAAGCAACATGAATGCATCAAGGTAAGGTGAAGGAAATGGAAAGAAATGAGAAGGCAGGGCCCAAACCAACCTGCTTTCACTGCCTTGCTCCTTCTCTCTGACCTGCAGCCACTTCTTCAGCAAGAAACGCTTGCGGCGAGGGGATGCACTGGGAGTGGAACAGCTTGACCAGGAAGACGGGGCGTCCTCATCGCTGGATGGAGTAATCTCAATAGAAGGCAACTGAAGGTACTCCTTGAAGCTAGAAGGGGATCTAGCTGTCAAGAGATTGCTGGTTTGCCGAACTCTCATCATCTCTTTTTCACTGGCTACGTTCCTCATGTGCCGCATCTTTAAGCGTTTGCGTTGAAGAGTAGGAGTTGAAGAGCTGGATCGCACGGTGCAGTCCGAAGCAGTGTTGCCATCTCCATCTGAATATGCTGGGACATCTTGTGGCATGCTCACCTGGAGTGAAGGAGGTTTTAGTGTGTCACTCATAACTTCTAGGATTTTTCTAAAATGCAGACAAAAAGCACAAAAAAAAAAAATCTTTGTCGAGATCTGCGTTGTTAGTTCTGGATCGTCAGTGTTGTTTTTTTATGCGGAAAAAAGGTTTGCATCATCAGGCACAAGCTCAGATTCTTTGAGTGTATTCATATAGCCCCCTGTTTAACTGCCAACCAACGATCAAAATAAGAGAAGCCAAGAAATCCAGATATCATTGACCTAACCAAGTCCTGCCACTGAGCTGTTGGTGAATATATATCAGTTTGGCGTCTAGCAGCCAGACTGTGAAGACCAGTCTTGTAGCAGTAAACCCATTCACTCTGGGTAGAGGAGAGCTAGATTAGATGACAAAAGGGGTTACTGTTCTGAAAGCAGCAGATGAAACATGCATAAGGCCTGTCAGGGAGTGTAACACAACTCCTTTGCTGGCCCTTCCCTGGGACTCGCAGGCCAAGTTACACACCCAAAAAACACGATAAAATTCTGATAATGCTACTGCCCAAGCAGTTTGAGCTATTATCTTAGCTGCTGGTGTTAAAGTTTAGGAGGAAGACACTGGATGTCAGCTCTAAAATATTGATGATGCTGATGTAAGACTGAGATATAATTTGCTGTCACCTAGTTCTCATTTCAGAGGTCCTAAAGCAAATGAAGACCTACCTGGTCACTTGGTTATGCTTGTCCTGGCAGCTGACTTCTGTCCTGTGCTCCTGTGTGGCATTGCCTCTGTGTGCAGTGAATGCCTACATGTTAGAGGGGAGGTGATAGTACTGCAAGGTATAGGCAAGGCTAGAATGATGATGATAACCACATCAAGCAGCAGCACACCCCCCCCCCCCCCCCCCACACACACACAATGACACAAATATACAAAACATTAGCTGGGCCATTAAATATAGAAACACATACAGACACAGGCAAACACCAACATAATAGGCCATGAGTGAAAAAGCTGATGTTCTAAATGCCCCTCCTAGGTTGATCAGTTCTTAACACGTTTCTTTCCTAATATGGTCCTAAAGATATCCATGACCTTTAAACTTTCTGTCAGAGACGAGAAATTCAGAGACAACATCTGATCTATGTGAATCACTGCCACTGTGTACATAAGATATTGAAGGGGAAATAACTGATTTATATGCTAAGGAATACTGGTACATCACAATAAAACATATTTCCAAATCAGAAAACCAAACAATGATATCAATTCAGCACACTGACATTGTTTGTCTGTTTGATGAGGAACACCCAATTTTTTTCTCTTATGAGGGCTGAGATCACACATTCTGTTTGCAGAGATACAATAGTCAAGTCAGCTGAAGCAAAATGAAACAAAGTAGATAAATGGATGAAACTACTGCAAAACATGCAGGGAGAATTGAATGAGCCTTGTAGTAAAACTAAAATAAGTAAAAACAAAATATAACAAACACAAGTTCTATGGTGAAAGTAATTTGTATTTGTCTCTGTGCCCAGTTATGATTTATATATGTTTATTTATTTATTTATTTAAAGAGGCGAATCACATTGAGAACACACAACTCTTTTGCAAGGGAGGCCTGGACCTGGAGCCAGCCTAACATGCATGTTTTTGGTCTGTGGGAGGAAACTGGAGTACCTGGAGAAAACCTATACAAACATGAGATCATGCAAACAACACACGGAAAGACCCCAGGTCCAAACTGGAGACTAAACCCAGGATCCTCCTGCTGTGAGGTAACATTGCTAATCACTAAGCTGTTGTGCTGCCCGCTAGTATACTAAAATAATTTTTCTGCAATATATGAGATATGCAGTATGTTATATTTTATCGAGGGAAACAGAAGAGAGTCATTCCCGCACAAAAAATCTTACCAAATGGCCCACAATTATTGCTAGGAAAAGGCTGTATTATTACCTGGAATTCAACAGCTACCAAGCAAAAGCGTTTTAATTGTTTTTTTTTTTAATTTGTAAATAGCAAATTTGAACCACTGATTTCTTTGCTAAAAATGCTGTGAGTAAAGAAAAAAATATTGACTGATGTGTAAATGTCTTATGCTGTTGATTTATGCCCAATACGTCGATCACAATCTACCAGTCAACCGCGATCAACCAGTCGATCACGAAGGCAATTTCGGTAGATCGCATGGTGAAATAGATGTTAGTCTTTTTAAAAAAATGTCTTTTTTTTTTTTTTTAATAGACGTCAACCCATCAATCCATTTTCACTATGCAGTTGGTCAATTGATTGACATACAGGTTTTTGCTTACGCATAGGTCACCACACATGCACATTCAACATCACTTAAAACAAACAAGTTGACTCGTAATAGCCTCCATTTTATTTCTTCTAAAATAAACAAAAAAAAAGTGTGTACACTACCAACAACACTACCAGCCTGATCAAGAAAGCTCATCAGACTCTACTTCCTCAGGCGGCTGAGGTGAGTTGGTCTGGGAAGCAAAGCCCTTACCTCCTTCTACAGGTGTGCAGTGGAGAGCATCCTGTGCTCCAGCATCAACGTGTGGCATGGAGGATGCACAGCTGCAGAAAGAAAAGCTTTGCAGAGAGTGGTGAAGGCTGCACAGAAGTCTGTTGGAATCAGTCTCCCCACCATCATAGACATCTACACTTACAAATGTAGGAAGAGAGCTACCTGCATCATGAAGGACCCCACTCATCCAGCACACTCACTTTTTGCCCCACAGGAAGGAGGTTGCGGAGCATTAAGTGTAGAACCACTAGAATGAGGAACAGCTTCTACCCTGAGGCTGCCAAGGTGCCATATAAAACATGGTAAAATACTAAAAATAAGAACGTAAAACAAGAATGTAAAACATAAAAAGCATATTTAATATGTTTATACATGAGTTTATATTTTGTATTTTATAGTAGGTAGATCACATGGACTTTGTCATTTTAAAAGTATCTTGCATGATGAAAAAGTGTGGGCACCCCTGTCCTAGTTGAAGAAAATTAAGATGTGTCTTGAAGTACAACACTACTGCTGCCCGCCTGCTCCAAAATATGCCTCAGCAAATAAATCTATAAAGTTTTCTTATGAGTCATTATAAATTAGTCATTATATAACTGATGCAGTTATTCCAACAGGTTGAGTACCTGCATCTTTCATGGTAAATACTTCCCTCACTCATGAACAAAATCTCAAGTTACTTGAACTCCTCCACTTGGGGCTGAACCTCACTCTTGACCTGAAGAGTAGACTTGACTCCAAGTCAACTTGACTTGACTCCAACAGGTTGAGTACCTGCATCTTTCATGCTCAATACTTCCCTCACTCGTGAACAAAATCTCAAGTTACTTGAACTCCTCCACTTGGGGCTGAACCTCATTCTTGACCCGAATAGTTAAATTTCACCCTTTTTTGACTGAGGATCATGACCTCATGGTGGTGCTGATTCTCATCCCAGCTGGTTCACACTTGGCTGTGAACCGCTCCAGTGAAAGCTGAAGACAACGGCATGATGACGCCAACTACATCATCCACAAACAGCAGAGACGGATTCCTGAGGCCACCAAATTGGACTCCCTCAGCTCCCTGACTGCACAGAGAAATTCTGTTCATAAAGGTTATGAACTGTTTGGTATCAGTCAGACCTCCATTGCACGACTACAACTGGTCCAGAATGCAGCAGCCCGATTTTTAACCAGTACAGGCAAAAGAGAGCACATCACACCAGTTTTGGCCTCACTGCACTGGTTACTGGTTCACCTTCGAATCCAGTTCAAAATACTCATGTATGTCTACAAATCGCTGAACAGTGTCGCACCCCCCCCCCCCCATCTCTCTGATCTTCTACAACCGTATGTCCCACCACGTTCCCTGAGGTCAGCGGACCAGTTGCTCCTCACAGTTCCAGGAACTCGTCTTAAGTGCAGAGGTGACAGGGCCTTCTCTGTAGCAGGACCAAGACTTTGGAACAAGTTACCTCTGCTTGTCAGACTGGCCCCCTCCCTCTTGATTTTCAAATCCCGTTTAAAAACTCACTACTATTCAGTAGCTTTCAACACCAGATGATCTGTGTTTTGAACCTGTACGCTCCACACTGGTTTGTCGTCATTATCTGCATCGATTTTATGTCTATATTTTTGATTTACTTAATTTTGTATATTGCTTCGTGTGTTGTCTGTTGTTCTGTCTGTACAGCACTTTGGTTGGCCTTGTAGCTGTTTTAAGTGCTCTATAAATAAAATGGTATGGTATGGTATGGTATGATATTCCCCATCACATACTGACTTCAAATCAAAAATCCAAAATGACCATGGCTTAATAGAAAAAAAAAAAGACTATAGCATATTAATTTTTTGCCATGTTGAGCTGAAATTTGGTATGATGGTGTCTAAGAGCAAACCCCACCACACAGTACTGTCAAATCAAGTCAATCAATGGCAGTCCCTGTCAAAATTTCTCCAGGAACTTTCTAGTTATGGTATAGAATTCCCTGTAATTAACCAATGTTATAACTCGGGGAAACCAGATTTGTACGAGACCCGGAATGAGACAAGACTCAGGATAGAAAAAGGCAATAGAGTTTATTATTTACAGTGGTAAAAATGTACACTTGGTCCTCTGGAGCTCCTGAGGGAAAGAGAGATGGTCAGGTGGGTCTGACTGTAGTTTTCTGGCACGATAATGATCTGGTATTTGTTTCTCTTACACGTTGGATAAGGAGAGATGGTACCGAATGGATCCAAATCTTGGATCTGAATGGATCCAAGAATTGATCCTGGCACTCCAGGAATGTGAGACCAGGCTGAGCAGACAGGGCAGGTGAGGCTTGCAACTGGCTGGATGGCAAGGCACGAGGAGAAGGACTGGACTGAAGAGAACCAGGACTAGACCGAGAAGTCAGGATAGCTAGAAACAAGAGAGGCAGGGTGAGTAGAATACTTCAAGTAATAATACAGGCCGGAGGCATAAGTACCACCAAGCAAGGAAGTCAATCCCAGCAGTTCTTTGTTTGATTTTATCCTCAAATGGTGCTCC